GGTGGCCAAGGAAATGGGTTCTCCCCTATTTGTAGAATATGTAGTTTGGTATGAAAAGTATTATAAAAATGCATGAAACGTTCATTTTGTTTTTTTTAATATTTAATATGTTTGCATGGTGCTGAAGCATTTTGTCGACCGCTTGACATAGAGAGACAAAATATTTTTATGCGTTAATTTGCTGTCACGACAGTCCTGTCAATCCAGCACGGACATCTTTTCACTCCATTAAATTGAAAGACTGCACAGGTGCAGCTGAAATTAAACTTAAAAGCTCCAGTTTACTACCTCACGTTTGTTGGTTAACATCATTTAGATAAAATTCAAAATGTATGATATCTTAATCTTAATTTTCCTCAAGGTGAATGGGAGGGGGAGCTTTTTAATTAAAATCTCCTTTTAGAACATTTGATTTCAAGTCTGTAGACAGACATCGTGTTATTTAAGAATGTTGGCCTCCCTGTTTAAAATGTGAGTCTTTAATGGTTAAATTCATATTGATATGAGAACAGGCTGCATATCTTTTACATTATGAGTTGCTGCAGTTTGGAAAGGCTGCCTAGCTACATTGCCGATTATACACTGATTCTTTCAAAAAACTATTGGATGAGAGCCCCAGATGACTTAGCTAATGGCAATAAAGTAAAAGACTTATCTTTATATTTGTGCGTAGGTGTTTTGTATTTTGCAAATATGGAAAATGTGTATACAGTAAATGTCCTGTAAATAATATATTTTAAATTAACAATATATGTTCACATTTTATTCCTTTAAAGAATAAAATGAAAAAATGTCACAATATTGAGCTGTTCTGATCTGTGTTCAGACTGATGCTAAGAAGAACTTTGAATCTAAGGTTTGTTTGAAGTCAAACTGCTTGATGCACACAGGTTTAATGGCTTGTACCATTGTTGTGTCTTATTATGTGGATGTTGACTTCACAGTTTCAGTGGTTTTATTGTTTGAGAAATATTTTGTGAAGTTACAGTTCTTACTCAATAGATTTTAGGTTTCATATCCAGGATTGGGCTCACATTTTCTTTTGTGTTAGGGGGAGTAAAGGTTATTTTTTTTTCGATTTCATACTTGGGGACGCAGAAGATTTTATTTCTAAGATACTTTAGGCTTCATGTTCCTTTGAGCTAATAAATGTCATGAGATCAACAGTAATATGACAGGTGATATAAAATAGGACACAGTAAGAAAACAACGAGCGGCAGTGGGAACGTTCTTAATCACAAAACCTTTTTTCAAAATACAGCACCTTTAAAATGCCCCGGTCAAAGTATTTAATTTCCACTGACATCTAATATTTTTAGACTAATGTTCTCATTTCGTAAACCCAGCGGTATGCCCTAGTCTTGAAGACTGTACTGAATCGGTGAAGGCCATTTTTTAAGAAGGGTATCGTGGAGAAAGGTGTCACAGTTGACTCTATCAAAAATGTATTGTGAGTATGAATTAAATTAAAGGTTACTTTTTAAAAATGTATTCTAAGCATGGTAAAGTTTCAGGATATTGAGTGAAGTTATTCTTTACTCACTGTGCTTTTTCTACGAATCAAAGTGGTGGACTGCAATTTTTCTCTTTTGAGTTTTTAAACCCATTTATTACTAAACAAGAAAAAAGCAAAATAGAGAGATTTCTGTTTATTTTGTTAGCAGTAGCATCTAGGACATCAAAGACCTGTCCAATAAGGTGAAGGTTGTAAATCCAGTTTTTCATTTAAATAACACTCTTTTCTCTTTCAGCCATAGCAGTAAAGGCAACTAATTGTAAAGATTTTCATCAGACAGAAAAAGGATTCTTATCAAAAACACAGCTTGGCTATAATTTGCAGGGTGTGTTAATACTTCCACATGAAAAACAGCCTAACATAAAAAGGATTGCACTGATGAAAAAGTCAGTGAGGGAGAAAGATTATAGTTTAGTTTTTAAAAAAATGGTTTATAGAACAACAAAACAACAGATCAGAAATGTATTGCAGAAGTAGGCTCAATCAATTTATAAAATAATATTAAGGTACGTTGTTGCTGCCACATACCACACTGTCTTCTGAAATTAGAAGACCAGTATCATTTGTTTGAGATACTTTGCACCATTCAGTTTGATTTTCTATGCCAACAGCCATATCACTCTGCAACTCACAACTGGCAGCCCACTGAAGCTAAGCAGGTGTGAACCTGGTCAGTACCTGGATGAGAGACCTCCTGGGAAAAACTAAGATTGCTGCTGGAAGAGGTGTTAGTGGGGCCAGCAGGGGGCACTCACCTCGTCCCAGTATAGTGACGGGGACACTATACTGTAAACAGGCGCCGTCCTTCGGATGAGATGTAAAACTGAGGTCCTGATTCTCTGTGGTCATTAAAAATCCCAGGGTGTTTCCCAAAAAGAGTAGGGATGTAACTCCCATTGGCCCTTACCAATCATGGGCTCCTAATAATCCCCATCTATGAATTGGCTTCAATACTCTTCTCTCCTCCCCACTGATAGTTAATGTGTGGTGAGCATTCTGGCGCACTATGGCTGCACGTTGGTGGTGGTGGAGGTTAGTCCCCGTTACCTGTAAAGTGCTTTGAGTGGTCCAGAAAAGCGCTATATAAGTGTAAGCAATTATTATTATTAATGTCATTATTGATCGCATACTGTATCTGCAGAAGTCTTATAGCTATATGTTCAGTGATGTCTTGGCAGAAGTGAAATTAAGTTATACTGTAGATTGATAGTTAAAAAAAATTTCCACAAATTTTTTTTTTCCTTGAAGCTGCCAGACTAGTTAGGTAAAAAACTAAATTGACAGGCTGCATGGTTAACTTGCAATTTCATTGCTTTAGTACAGCTGTACACAGTTGCACTTGCACTGTAATTCGGTTGGAATTATTTTCATAGCCTGGGTATCATAGCAAAATTGAGTCTGATTATTTAAATAAATGACATTTAGATACTTGGCTTGTCTAACAACTAGAACTTGACAGGAACGTAGTTACAGCCAGCCGTTTTATTTTTTTGATGTTCAGGTTCTTTTTTTGTACTGTGAGGTTGCACAAGAAAATTAAATGCCGGTTGTGTTGAACTGGTTGAAATATTGGTTCAAATGTGTCAGTGAACTCCCCCAGGTACAAGTAAAGTGTGTCAAGTTATATGCTACTGTGGCTGAATTAGGAGAAATAGCACTGTTATTTAAATTGTAAAAAATGGATTAACAACCTTCACTTTCTTGGACAGATTTTTTATTATAGTTTAATTTTGACAGTTGACAATTGCTGATAATTATGTGACATAGGTCAAAATAGAACTTGAAACCTGGAAAGTATACTACAGCTTTTATCCCATTAATGTCTTCAGAAAATCTAAATATACTTTCCTAATAAATTATTTATTAGTTGGTCTGTAATGTTTACAGTTTACTCTTATCCCTGCATGTGATTGTTCAGATGTTTTGCCAGATATAGTAGAGGTCATGACTGCATGATTTGCTCATTCAGAACAATTGTATTGCTTTCAATTAAGGAATTGATTTCTGCCTAACTGCTTATGAAATATGCAAGGACTTTTCCTTGACTTAAATATTGTTATGTGGAGTCATAGAGCACCAGAGCACTATACTGATGACTCATTGGAGCACTTCTTTAAAACTGAACAGGCACAGTTCAAGTCCAGATTTTTTCTGTCTGATCTATAAAGTGTTGTAATTCATGCCCTGCCACCCTTGCATAAAGATCATTTTGGTGAGTTATGGAATTGCATAAAAGGATGTTCAAGATTATTTTCTTTGTACAGACGTCATATTGGGTGCTCCACAATTCAGACAGTTTCAGGTTCTATCCTTCTTTCACCAAAACGCTTATTTAACGACATCATACTCATAATCCCCATGAGTTGTTCCATGCAGTGTTATTGCACATGGCTCTACTCTGAAGTTGTCTTCAGTAGTACATCACATTTTCCTGCCATCTATACATAATATACTGTTCATGAAATAATGTATAAAATATGGTCTTTCTTGAGTTGGAAAGGGGTAGTTCTTTCACATGCTGAACTATTTTGTCTTTATGCGTTGAAAAAATAATTGAACATGTTTTCAACTGCTTTCATCAAAGCTTATTTTACATACAGGCTGTCCGTATACAGTATGGGTTGCTATTCCAAGCCACACAGAGAGTGAGCTCATTACTGGACTGCACATGGCCACTTCTGCCAGTAGCAGATGGAGTAACTGCCTGATATTGCATTTTATAATTTTTCAAGCTTTCCGTTTATCATGGGTTGTTTTGGTGATTAAAGTTCTTGATGTGAACACTTGATGTTTTGTGAAAACACCCATTCTTGGCAAAGAACACGCATAACTTCTTCATTCCAGTACTTCTGAAAATTCCAGCCATAACTTCATCCAGAATGTGTGCAGTCCACAAACATTCCAGATTGATTTTTGTCTTTTCTTCCACTTGTGGGAGACCTACAGTATATTAAAATATATATATTTGATGCTTTAAAAGATGCCAGAAAAGCTTAATAATTAAACCTAACAGCTGGAAGTAATTTCATATTTTATTTTGTGGCCAAATTTAAGTATCACATAAAAGCCAAAAAATAAGATTCCTTCATGCTTGTTTTACTACATTGACAATACAAAATATTTAATTCCCATCTTTTTTGCTTTGTTCACCAAATTTGTTGTACTGTACCTCCAAAATCTTTTACTTTTGTGTTTTAAGCACTGAAAGATATTCAAGTCTCATTCAAAATGTGCATCTTTTTCATTCGTAGAAGGAAACCACAAACACTGTTGTTCTATACCTGCACATAGCTCCCTACTGCAGCCATCTACTCAATTTCAGACTCTTAGTAAAGCAGAATAAATTAGTGCTTTTTCCTCCTTTGAAATATACCTAGGATATGTAGTATTTGTGTCAAGTGATTTCACCACTTTCTTGCCAATGAACAAAGAAGTATAATTGTGCTATTATCAATAATGCATTTTGCCGTTCTCCCTTTTGCAGAGATGAAGATGAACTGAAGAAATCTTTGTCTGAACTTGCTGATGACAAGACTGATAATGCTCACACAAAAAGCATCAGTCGAATTGGCAGTGGCAGTAACCCTTTCCTTGACATCACCCATGATCCTAATGCTGCAGTTTATAAAACAGGCTTCCTTGCTCGGAAAATCCACGCCGATATGGATGGAAAGAAAAGTAAGTAATAAGATTGGGCTATGACCTAGGAAACAAATAATTATTTTGCTTAAAAACATGTGTACATTGTTTTATCTGCTGGTCCATTTTTTATTTGCTGCCTAGGATTGCTTAAGAATGTCTTTTTGAATTGTGAAGGGCAAATTTGTTGGTGACTCAAAAATAAAAGTGATATCAGTTCTAGTTATGCTATAGTGTATATATTCTATTCCTCTTTGATTGGTATCATTTTCCAGGTGAATTGCTGTCATCATTTCTTGATAGTATGTCAAACAAGCATCATCAGTCAAAGAAAAATGCTTTGTTTGTAGTCTGTATGAGGGTGTGTCTTAACCGTGCCACAGCAACATAGGATGGTCTGTTATACTGTAGGTCACTAGATTTTGGAAATGTTCTTCAACATGGTAACAAAACATATAGTTCATTTGAAATTAAGCAAACTATTATATCTAATTCAAAATTAAGCTGTCAATTAAATATATAATCATAATAAATTAATACTCAGTTTACTATCCTGAACAAGCTTGTTCAGTTTGCTGTTACATGGGCTGTAATTCAAATGAGAAAAAAATAATCGAATAAATCAAGAGGTGAATATTCAGACAAGCTTTTTTCAGCAAATTTCCATTGTGTGAGGCTGCAAAATAAGGTTTCTCTGCATTTTTGTTCTCATGAAATATAATAAACTCATTTTAATTGCTTCTTGTCATGGTTGTTGTTTTCTAAAGCAAATGTGGAGACAAGTTAAGCAACCCCTGTCGTTAGCTTCTCAAATTAACTGCGCAGATAAGCCAATGCAGGTGGAGTTTCTGGACCCCCTTGCTTGGCTGTTACATCACGCAGGTCATTGGCATCATTGGTTTATAATTTTAATTCATGCAGCTGTTGGAAAATTTGAGCTGTTTGGATCTGCAATAAAACAACAAACAAGTGTATTGTCATATTACAAAATTATTCCAAGTGATATTCCATGAAGAAACATGTAGAGGTCCCTGTGGTGTATTAATAAAATAACACGCCAAATTTTGTCACTTCTAACACTTTTCCCATGATGTCCTTTTCACTTTATTCTGTATTTTTTATGCCTTGTGCTGTTTGGACCTGCTTCCTCTGACTGTCTTCGTTAAAATGCAGCTTTGTGAGCCACACAAATTACATTTAGTTATACGTACTTTACCATAGCTTTGGTCATCTGTGAAACATTTGTCATGGCTAGTGAGCATATGTTGGACATTGTTTATCATTTTTTGCTGCTTTCCATTCTCAGATTTAGCTCTGCAATTCCACAGGAGGTAGTCAATCAGGTTCTCAATCAGTCTGGCTATTTAAGTAGGCTTTCTCCTCTGGTCCGTGCTCCGACATTGAGGTACAGAAGCAACTAACCTGTTTTCTGTAGCCAATACCTAGAAGCCTGTTTCTTCTCTTATTTTTAGAGCACTGATTCAAGACCTTCATCCCTGCTACAAACATCAGCCTTCTGCAAGCTCAACCCGCTGATTGCCTCCTTTATTTTTCTCTAGCTGGATTCACTGACTGTTCACTGTCTCTTCCTTCTGTCCATACGTCTCTGTTTACACTTTTTCTGCTGCTGCAAGCCAGGCAGCTCTTTTCTCCGCTACACTTGAGCCCTTTTTTTCCAGACAGCCTTTGCCCGGTTTTTCTCAGTTCTCCAGTCACCGCCTTTTTTCAGTCTGCCTGTATCTTTTCTTTTCCTTCACTTCACGTAGCTATTCTCTTTCGGGAGCTTGTCCAGAAAAACCCGACAAATTATCTTAGTCCTGCAACTGAGTTTTTGTTAGTCTTCTCTCTGCAGCTCTGTTAAACCACTGCTGCAGCATGACACCATAAATGAAAGACTCGCTTGACATCCCTGGAAGACTTCCATAAGAAGCAACTGTTTTGGCTCTAACTTTTTCCGAGAGAAGGCTCTGAGCCAAAATGGCTTTTCGCAGCCCAGTAGAGGAGCCCAGCCGTGGGTAGTTGAAATCAAGATTCACTTGAAGTATACAGTATAAGCCCTATAATTCAAAAGTTTTTGACTGGTAACGAGCCTATCATTTACAGACACTACCACACTTTTGTTTGCCTGTTAATGGTATTCATATAATCATTCAAAGGCCGAAATAAGTAAATATCTTACATTTTGAAGAAATTGAAGAGAGTCGCTCTCAATTCTAGCACCTCTGTGTTATATTAAAATACAAGCTGATTCTGAACACTTGCATGATGAACACATTATTTTATATACTGCCATTCATATTGTACATGAAATTTTATATACTGCCGTAATTATTCATATGGGTGATTTATATAGGGTATATCGAATGACATGTCTGACATTTTAGTGGTTGTTGTTTAATTTAACACAATGATTCCTTTTGTATGTGCTTCTGAAATATTTCTGGCAAACCATTGTCATGTTCAAGTATTAGTTTTCTTTTTTTCTGAGGGATACAGAGACCTGTTTGGATTGAAATTCAGTTTAATGAATGAGTTATGTCGTTACTCGTACTGTACATTTAATCTACTTGAGTACATTCATAAAAAGTTCAGTACATTCAACCAGTTCCAGGGTTGTAGAAAACCCAACATACTTAAATTTGACTCTGCATAAAAACCCTCCATACTGTAGGTGCTATATTAACACTTCCAGTTTATGGATAATTCATATAAGATACATTAAGAGCAAGTAGTTGAGTAAGTTCCTTTCACTGATGAATAGAGTGGAGAAAGTGTAATGCAGTCACTACCAGCATCCACCAGAGCTCCATTTTATTCTTCAGTTTTGCTTTGTTCTTGAGCACGTGTGGCTTCCTCAGCCACTCTTCTCCTTAATATCTCTCTTTTTCGAATGTTTCAAGTGCTTTCTGCTGTATATTTGGTGTTGATTGTAATAATAAGGCTTTACATTTTTTATTTATTTATGAATATCTATTAACAGTGATTCTCTATATCTGTTCACGGAACTTCTAGGAAAAGGTTGCTTCTGACATTCTGTTTTATCTCGGGTTTACCTTACTTAAGTCGGGAGTGGGTCTTTATGTGTCTGTGTATGTGCACAGCTGTTCCTCAGAGAACTTTACTTTCTGTGTTATGAGCACTATGATAGAGGAATCTGAAGCGCCGATCATAGGTTGAGGTTGTCAGTGTGCATTCAGCACTGGGTTGTTGGAGAGTTGGGTGGCACCTGGAATTAGCTTATTTCTTTCTGTATAAAAGAGAACTGAATAAGACAGACCTAAAGTCTTGGGTGAGACCGAAGCCATTTTGGAGAAATTTGTAATGTCTGCTCTAATTATTACGGACGCTTCACACATTGATGCTGTGTCAGATTGCTGGAAAGTTATGGTTAAATCTGGACCTCTGGCAAACAGTCCACACTTCTGTGTTGGAGGATGTGTTAAGCTATGTATCACCAAATGTTTTTTTTTTTTTGTGCAGAAAACTGGGTATTTGTTCTTTAAATCCAGTTTGAGAAATTAAAACAGTTTTATACTTTTAGAAACCTCTAACACAGCACTGGTGGACCATGCTGTTACGGTATAAAAAATATTGCCCAATTCTGTACATTTTGGGCCCTATTAATGACTTTTCCTTTTAATGATTTTCTTATATTTACTTATTTAATTAAGGTGACTTCTGATAGAAGTGATGGAAACAGCGTATTTCTTCTCAGAGGTGTTGTGGCCCCATAAAACAAGATTCCCAGCCATGTTGCTTGAGCTGATACCCAGGTTTCTCTTAGGAAAAAGCTGGATGAGATCCTTTTATCAATCAACTACTTACTGCCAAATGGGATAGATACTGTAGATAGGCCAAATGGTGTCCTCTTATTTCTGATATCTAATTTACAGGTTCAAACCCACGAGCTGTAAAGTGCCAGATGATTTGTTTTCACTTTCTCTTTTGGAAGAGAACATCAAATGGTAAAGGAAAAGCATTCAATGTGCAAATCATGCCATTAAAATGAAAAACAACATTTCAAGGCTGTTTGAAAAGCTTATCTTGCAGTGGGTTGCAGAGACATCAGTCGGGAATTTAACAAACCTCTGCTTTCAAGGCATCTTCAAAACGGTCATTTGGAATAGAGGATGCCCAGCTGCATGCGTCTGATAAAACATATTTTAACATCGTAGGACACAGCAATTCCTGAGAATAATTGCTGAATAATGTAACTTCAAACGAGGATCTTGTATCTGATGATGGGACCTAACAAAGAAATGGATGAATAGAATTGCTAAGATAAAAATCTGGTTTATATTTACTTATCTATTGGCGCTTTCATTATTTGAAGGTTTTAAAACCTTTGGAGTTTAAAGAAATACCGTATCCAGTGTAGCCATTTTTGTTGAAAAACTCCAATAAATCTCAATTCTGTTCTGTAGTTAACAGACAAATTGCAAAGGGAAACTTGGCAATAGAGTGATATATTGCTGCAGCCACCTCTTGGGCCTTATCAGCCCTTTGGTTCCTGTTCTGTCACTACGTCGGTACATCCAAAGCAACCCTGAATCACTCTAGACTTACTGTATATGGTTTCCTTCATTTGCATTTGTTTTGAATGTGTAATACTGTACAATACTATAATCTCAGTTATAGTACACCTGCTACAATTATTACTACTTATTGCTACTATTGTTTTCCTGATAATGGGTTTGTGAATTTGAGTGACAAGGAATAGTCATGAAATCATAAAAAGCAACAAAAAAAAGATTTCACAGAGCACAGGACTCTTCTTCAAAAGATGTGTCAAATGCATTTTTAAGTAGAGTATTTTAGGGCCTCCCATTAAAAAGAAACATAGAGATTTCTTGATGGCTAAAATACCAAAGAAAGTAAAGTCAAAGAAAAGGTTATCTTTTATAGGCAGTAGGAGTTCGATTCCGATTGTGCCTTGTTAGGAGAACTGTGAAGTAGGCCAAAGAGACTGTTGCTATGCACTTGACTTTTTCCTGCGTTACCATAGCTTTCTGACCTCTCTTTTAGATTCCCTCAAAGGTAGGGGAGATTGAATGGAAAACATAAAGAGCAGTGTAGGATTTATGCAGTCTGTGGTGAAATGAGTCAGAAGATAATTTCCATTAGGATATACAGTATTGTGTTTGTGACCAATATTGTTACACATCTTTCACTGGGAAAGCAAACACGGTACATTACGGTATAAAGTTGAACTACAGTCCGTCTTTCTCAGATGGTTATTAAATCTTGGTTACAAAAGAAATTAATTGATTGTATAGAAAAATTGGACAAGTTTTGAGTTAATCACAAATGTATGTTGTGAAAGTATTATAATTTGCCATGTTGTCGCAAACCCACGGTCTCGCCAAGAATTGTGACATAAAGCGGCCCTTTCTGCTCACTGGTCACTGTAATAATGCATGTAATGTGATGGAAGAGCAAACAAGTACAGGTTGTGCAGCAGATATTTAACTGCAGAAAGTTTCCATCATGATCTGCATGCATAATTAACAAGTACGTTCCATTTATCGGCAAAATCATCTTGAAGTCCAGAGCTATATTTCTATTTGATTTAAAGAGATGTCTTCACAAGCCCGCTTGTTTACAATGTAATGGGGCCACATCTACTCCCTGGAAGTTTTGTTATCTCATTCTGAATTGCAGAATATAGTGCTGCACATACCTGAAAATTGGATTTTGTTTCACAAGTTACTGTGTACATTTTACTTTTATTGTGGCTTGAAATGTACTCATCATGCACAATTTATGATGAGGGATTAAGTGTATTGAGACAATCAGGGCTAAGAGAATTAGCCACCATGGTCCATCCACAGCCCTTATTACTTTACTTTAAAAAATGCATTACAAAGGCCAACGTCTTACTTTAAATCTGTGATGTTAATATTTGAATGTAAATGTCTGAAATGTAAAATAAAATTGTTAATGTCTGTTGCAGCTCCCAGAGGCAAAAGAGGGTGGAAGACCTTTTATGCTGTTCTCAAAGGAATGATCCTTTACTTGCAGAAGGTAAAAATGTTTATTCCATTTCGTCACGCTTGAGTCTTTAAAGCACATTTAGTCAACATGGATCTAAAAGGCAAAGCCTGTTGGGTCTTTACTAACTTCTTGGACTGCTAGTCGTCTAGTTAGGAACTGAAGGTAGTGTAGATTAAGTCTGGTCTGGTAGATTGAAAGTCTGGTCATTTCCAGTTGAGGTAGGATGGCGTGGTTTTCCAGCCCAGTCACTTTGGAGGATATTAGGAGAGCTGGGGATCAACAGCAAAGATAGAAAGTCAGTGGTGCAACAGATGATGGAGGCAGCAGAAAAAGCCTCATGCTGGCTCTGGTACAGACAGGATTATTCATTATGATCGCCAAAGGCAAGCAGTGGCTGATTATCACTGCTGTCCCGCTATCCTGAAGAAGTACTGGGTTAAGGGACAAATCTTCTTGTGATAGATAGACCCAGCTGATGATGCCAAGGCAGACTGTTTCATCTCCTCTGTATTTGATACAGTGGAATGAGAACTGGTGAAGGCGTACTAAACAAATTGTGTAATTTGAAAAGCCTCTAATTTGTGCTAAAAAGGCCATCGCCTTTTACTTCCCCCTTTCTTCGATGTCAGACTTGTAGTCTGTTTTTAGATGTCAAGAAATATGGTTATCAAAATAAATGTGCTTTGTTGTGCAAATATTTTTTTCCTTAACTTTTTGATTTACCTACAATTCTCTTTCATCATCAGGGGTTTATTATATATTTGTATAGTGGGTAAGCAGCCGTATTCCACCACTGTAGAGAAGAACTGTCCGAATGTTTGTGTTAAATCAAAAATCATTCCTTTTCTTAAGCCCAAGGCTGTTTTGGAGGCTGAAGAAAGGAATTGGAGGAGATGCAGAGAATGTAGATTGAAATAAAACTAAAAAAGCCTGGTTCCCATTGGGTTCTGAGAAATCCATCAGACTTACAGTAGATTTATACTTTGTTCCAAATAGTTGTAAATGTTTTGGAGAGAGCGGTGCTTGTGGTTGGACTGTGATTTGTTTGTAGATGCTAAATGTTTTTAGTTTGTTGAATGCCTCTATGCTGAAAGCATCATAGTTACATTTAAAGTGCTGCAGTATGTACTTCAGAGGGTTCTCAGAGTAATTTTCATTTTCTGACAGAAAACAGTTTTGTTTCCATATGCTGAGAAACTTTGTACGTTATGTTATCTATATTTTCATGGGTTTTCTTAAATAGAAACAAATGGTGATACTGTTAGATTAGAAGATAAAATCCCTTAATCTTAGTCATTATGTACAATAGGTCAAGGAAGGAAGATCAATATCTGTTTTTACATACAGTAGGTAAAGACAGCTAACATTTACCTGTCTGACTCAAGTGATAAGAATAAAATAATACACATTGAGCATAACAAAATAAACATTTGCCACAGGGATAGAAAGTAGCTTTAAAATATTTCCAAGCTGTCGTCTTTAGAGAGATATTTAGACAGATGCATCCCATTTTGCACAGTGCTACAAGGAAACTTCTCACGTTAGTGTTCTTGCCTCAACACAATCCTTAAACTATACTGTATTTTGGTAAAACGTTACTGGGAGTGCATTACCAACCAAGACAATATAAACTGACAATAAATACCATTCATATTGTAACTTTACTGCTAATGTGCCAATAAGCTCCTGATATCATGACATGCCAATGATAAATTAGTATACTATAAAATATATTAAACGATACTTACAGTATTTAACAGTCATAGCCTTTTGATGTTTGTTGAACAGAGATTCATCCTAGAGAGAAGTAGTGGAGATTCCAGGTGAATCTCAGGGTGTGTCAATACATACCTGCATCTACTGAACATTGATACTGTAACACTCTCTTTTCCTCTGTTTTCTTGGGAGCAGGGACTGTGGAGCGTCCCAGTGGGTATAATACTAATAAAATGGATTCTGGATTGAGACTCGTCAGTCCAATGGGATTGCTGTACTGTAGCTTATTGTCATCGATTAGTGGTATTGTAAAGTGCTCCTTTATTGTGGGTATTCCCTTGTCCTGTGTGTTGACCCTCTCTTGTCTAGTGTCTAGTAGTCTTCCCCTTAGAAAGCATTGCCAGGTTAATCAGGGTACCAGGTGTCTCCCCAAATGTATGACTGTCTTGCTCAAACTTTAAGCCGAGAGCATTAACCTGCTAACAAAAGATCAGATGAGCATTGATCATTGCCTAAGTATTGTTAGAACCCATCACAGAGTACCTATGGAGCTGTGCTAAAACTTCCACAGTATCTAAGAAATAGATGTCTGTGCTGGAGTCTCTGGGTAGTGATGTAATTGGCATTGTTACGTCCAAGTGTGTGTTCTGTGTGTGTTTTTTCTGTTATGTCCACACTGCTGACCCTTGATTGTTCTCCCTTCCCCATTGGCCCACCATCACCCCAATCAGAACGCATCTTATTCACTATATAACATGGAGGCTTTCAGAAAGAAGAGGCCTTTCTTTTGACTTTGGTCCCGTTTGGTTTTGGTTATCGCTTCGCTTCGCTTCGCTTCTGGTTATTGCTTCGGCTTCGTTTGTTGGTTTGTTTTGCTTTGTGTATGTGTATTTTCGTATAGCTTCGGCTTTGTTGTTTTGTTGGTTTTACGTTAGTTTCTTTGTACTTTTGTTTGTTTGTGTGTTCATCCTTGTTTTGTCATTACCTTGCCCCAGTGTTACAAGTTCAACTTTTGTGTTCTTTTGTACCCTGCTCCTGTTAATTACTATTCCTGGTTCACTTGTGTTTTTGTGTGAACTTTTGTATATGAGGTTAGTTTCGGTTGTTGGGTACACTTACACACTTAGTTGATTTTGTATTAGTACACTAGTTTAGTACAGGTGAGTGCCATTTGTTTTGTATGGTTTTGGCTAGTCAGTGTAGGTTAGCTAGGGTGTTGAAGATGCCGAAGACCATGTGTTTCGGGTTTTCTTTTGTAGTCAGATTAGCTTTCCTTCACTGTCCTAGCCAGCTCCATTTTTGTTTGTTATTTTCTTTCCTTTGGCACCACTCTAGTTCCTTACTCTTGTTATCACGCTGCCTAGTCCCTCACCAAAACCCCCTTGCTTCCAAAAGAATTATCTTAAATGTTACACCCCTTTACCCCTAGACACTTGGGGTTGTAACAGGCATGTTATACTGTACACATATATAGTATACTGTATACAGTATATTACATATTGTTATAAAGAGGGGGGTACACAAATTAGAGTCTTACGGAAAGTACTGAGTGGGATAATCAATTATTAAAATAAATAATCACAACCCCCAAATTGTAAAATAAGTGCCAAAAATATACCTGAGTGGTTGGTATAATTAGAGGCACATGACATCTTAATTCTTGGGCTCAGCTTTGGTTAAGGAGTGACAAATCCGAGGTAAACTGGGATAAATAAATATTTAATAATGAGAATAATGCACACTAAACAACACAACATAAAGATAAAACATACAAATTACCACCAAGGTGTCTCTGAGGGCTATGTTCTGACCAACCTCAAAAAAGCCCTGTCTGTGACAAAGTATTCAGAAGCCTCTATAGAAACTAACAGGCCAATAAGAGAGATAAACCTCCCTTCTAAAGCAAACAGAATACGACCTAAAGTTAAATAACTCTCTTTATAAATAGAAATTATACAAAATGAAGAATTTGTCTCCTTATTCTAAAAAATGCATTCACTAATCAGGAGAGACCGCTTTTAACTTTCAAACAGAATGGCTAGCTCTCTTAACAAGGTTCAGATACAGTACTAGAACCTGGTCTCTAAGGTTGATTCGAAAACGGATCTCTCATCTGGCACTATTCTTCTCTTCTCTCTCTTATCTTTCTGTCCGTCTCTCTCATTCATCCTCTGTGTATTTTTTCTTGTTTTTCTAGACTGTTGATTTACCAAGAACTTAATTAACTAAGGTAAACCTTATTATTTCTTTGAATTAGTGTGTCTCAGTCCCACTACAACTCAAACACCTCAGTTCTTGTCTTGCATTGAAATTCTCTAAAACTCCAAATATTGATATAAATTAGATGTTAACCAGTCCCCATCTAGCTTTAACAATATGTTAATAATATGTTATAGTATCCACCAGTAAGTCATATTCATAAACTGGGTTTTAACTGCAAACTATTATTACAGTACAATAGTAGTAATGTACAGTATATGTGCAGGTGGGTAGCTGCGTCAGCATGCGTAGGCTGCAAAGGAACAAGTAATAGGTTTATTCCATGCTGAAAAAAAGAAGAAAGAGAACACAACATTTGGGCTGTGGAGCCTTTTCAGGTGTGAGAGAGACAGGGCAGTAGGAAAAGGTAAAGTAGCGGGAGAACAAAGGTTGGGAGGGAGGAGGAGTGAGAGGCGGGAGCAGGGGACAGAAAGAGAGGCCAATCAAGAGGTGTGAAGTCAGAATGGGTGCAGAGAGGTGTGAAATGAAACTTCCAAGGAGGTTACGCAGATTAGGTGGTCGGCGATATGAGATGATAGGGCAATCAGAAAAGAGGGCCCCAATGGAGGGATCATCCTGTAGGATGGAAAAGTTGTGGTTAATGGTCCTGGGGATAGGAAGTGTGTTAAATTGGTAAGGAAGTACCAAAGGAATGCAGTTGTTATGGCGGGAGTTCCTGATCGGGTTGATGGTCCGGGGGGTGTTTTTGGCTTGGGCAAGGGCCCTGTCAATCACACTGCTGGGGTATCCTCTGTTGATGAAAAATGATTACATTTCGAGGGCTTGGTTCTCGAAGTCGATGTCGTTGCTGCATAATCGTCGTAACCTAAGGAACTGTGAAAAAGGAAGAGAGTTTTTAGTGTGGTTGGGGTGAAATGAGCTGTACAGGAGGTAGCTGTGTGAATCCGTGGGTTTGTAATAAACTGAAGTCGGGGGTAGTTGATAGAGTACAGTGTACAGTATATATATGTACAGTATCCATGTACAGTATATATATTATAATATACTGTATATCTATGATGTATATATGTACTATATATGTGTATCTACTGTAT